CAGCAAGTTGTATCTTGGGAACAGGTCTTGTTGGAAGTACCAGACCCCTCAATTAAAATGGGTTACAGTGCAGAGCAGGCCTGTGGCCTTCTGCCTGCAGGTGCAAGATTAATACTGAAGCTAGAACGCAGTGCGGGAGGTGCAAGGCTGCTGCGCTGGTCCAGCTGTGTCTTGCCTGTAGGCTGAGGGGTGGAGAGATGTAAAGAACTGTTTGTAGTCCTTGGGTTTTAATGGCAGACGCACCTGCTCACTCCTCGTGATCTCCTTGTGTCCTCAGAGATAAAAAGCAAGTGGACTGGGTGAAAGCTTATCTGAGTATCTGGACAGAGCTGCAGGCATATATCAAAGAGTATCACACCACAGGGCTGACTTGGAGCAAAACAGTAAGTGCTGGCTACATCTGCAGGAGCTTCTTAGATGAGTATTGCATGATTATTGGAGCAGATACGGAGCTTGTGCAATTGCCTATCCTCTTGCTGGCCTCTTACAGGGTCCTGTAGCAACAGAAGGGGCTAAATCACCATCCGCTCCCCCAGCTGGGGCTGCGCCTCCCCCACCAGGCCCTCCTCCCCCACCTGCTCCTGCCCCCATGAGCTCCAGCACAGATGAGTCTGCCTCCCGCTCTGCGCTCTTCGCTCAGATCAATCGGGGAGAAGGCATCACCTCTGGTAGGTGGAAATAGCTGGCAGAGGGACGACAGCCGTGAGCGGGAGTACTGTTGTGTTGTGAATCCTTGTTCTGCTGCTGTCCCTCAATAAACCTGCTTAGAAAGTACACTTGCAGTAACAAAAGACCATCTGGTCTGAGCATGAGGCTAGGAGCCAGCAGCAGCCCTGAGGCAGTTCACAGGGACAAAGCGGAGCACATCTGAGTTAGAATTCTCAGCCTCATCTGTCAAGTGTAGCAAGAGATTAATCTCTTGCTGGAATGGAGAGAGTGAGCCCTTTGGTTGCCTGCATTTTGAACCTATTCATATTTGCACAAAACTTATCCCTTTTGTGTGTTACCTGTTTAGCGTATCAGGGCAGATGTGAAACAAAGACGAGGTGTTTGGCTCAAGGCTTTTTCCAGATGCAGAGTGGAAGAGCTGGCGCCTTCTGGTTCTACAGTACATCTTGTGTACTCATCAATATTGCATCAGTGTTTCTTGCTCCCTCTTTCGTTTGCTGTCACTCATGCTTGGACTCAACTTAGACCCAGTCTCAATAATCTATTTGCGTTTTGAAAAACGTTATCATGATGATTGTTGTAATCATTGATGTCTGGTGTTTGTGAAACTGCATTCTTGAAGGAGTGCTGGATCTCAGGTTTGACTTCTCTTGCAGGCTTAAGACATGTTTCAGATGACATGAAGACCCACAAGAATCCAGCACTGAAGAACCAAGGGGGTCCTGTGAGAACTGGACCCAAACCTTTCACTGCTCCCAAACCAGCCTGTAATGCTAATCCCTCCCAAAAAACCTCTCCAAAGGCACCTGCATTACTAGAATTAGAGGGCAAAAAGTGGAGAGTGGTGAGTGCCTGGCATTGGCATGAGTGGGTTGGAGGGATGGGAGCTTTGCAGCAGGGAAGGAGGGTCTCTTGAAGACCTTTCTTGTAAGAGGCACCAGCCTGACGGTACATGCAGTTTGCTTTTAAAGAGGCTGCACTGCCCTGCTGTTCACATGGATGAGTTGGTCTGCATTCCAAAAATGAAGTGTTATTTCCCTGACTTTTCAGGAAAACCAGGAGAATGCCACTAACCTGGTAATCAGTGACACAGAGTTGAAGCAGGTAGCATATGTTTTCAAGTGCACAAATAGTACACTCCAAATCAAAGGCAAGATCAACTCCATCACCCTCGGTAAGTGGAGAAACCTTGAAAACTGTTCTGCCTGCTGGTCTATGTGCAGAAGGTTGAATCTCCAGAACCTTTCTGTGAGTTACTCTATGTCTTTTCTTTGCAGATAACTGTAAGAAACTAGGGCTGGTGTTTGATGACGTGGTGGGCATCGTAGAGATCATAAACAGCAGAGACATTAAAGTTCAGGTGAGTGTCTGTGACCTACTCTCTGCCTGGAGTATGACTCATGCACTGTACAACAGGGTGTCTATAGCATCTGCTTCTTTGAGTAGTTTTATATCCAGAACAGGAACGTGCATCTGTGGAGAACATTCATGGAACACCATCTGTCCTACTGTTCTGCAGCTCATCCTGCCCAGCCCTTAGGAAAGGGCTGAAATTTGCCTCACTGAGCTGCTTCAGGGCTCTAGAGAAAAGATTAGTCTCTGTGAGATGGGCAGTGCAATGTGACTGCCAAAGTAGGAGGCCAGCAGTAGAATCTACTCTGATTCCGGTTTTGGTATATGATTTGAGATGGTCAATTTGCGCAGCGTTCACTGTAGTTATGTTCTAAAGAGATCAAAACAAGAAATAACTTTGGATTTTTGCCAAAGGTTGGGAGTACTTGAATTCAGCGTGGCTGCTGCAGGTTGTTGGAGTCAAACCTCTTGCCTTGAAGGCAAGTGCAAAGGAAAAATGTGGTTGCCCAGCTCAAGCTAATGCTCCTCTAACTGCTGCTTTGACCACCCTGCCAGGTAATGGGTAAAGTGCCAACAATTTCCATCAACAAGACAGACGGTTGCCACGTTTATCTGAGCAAGAACTCCTTAGACTGCGAAATCGTCAGTGCCAAGTCATCAGAGATGAATATCCTTATTCCCACAGAGGGTGGTGACTTTGTAAGTGTTAGTTTTTAAATCATTATGGAGGTCTGCTTGGGGTTGGGGTAACACAGGGCAGGATTTGTATTTTGAGCCCTTCAGGGAATGTCACAGTTACAGTGAGGTCTGGAGGGACAAGTCTAGACTCTAGACTTGAGTCTAGACTCTAGACTCTAGACTTGAAGGTTATGAATGATGATGAGATACTAAAACCAGTTATCAAGTTTGTCTTTATGGTGAGCTGCTTCTTCCTCAGGATCTCTGGGGACCAGAACAGACAGTATTTGTGGTATAGGAGGGAACATAGCATGTATCTAAGAAAAGTGCCCAAAGCAGTGGGAGTAGTTACTAGTCTTAGTCATAAACTGTTTTTGACAACAGATTATTATTTTTACCCTCCAGACTGAATTCCCTGTCCCAGAACAGTTCAAGACAGTGTGGAACGGTCAGAAGTTGGTTACCACTGTGACGGAAATTGCTGGCTAAGCAGAAAAGCTCCAAGGCTCATGCCTTCCCCTGGCCCTGCTGTGGGACAAATCTGCTTTCAGATGATTCTCTTAGATTTCTTGTACCTTTCTGCTCTCAAACTGCTTCTCTTCTACCCGAGAGACACAGCTACCTGCCATCACTGAAATACCTCTGGCTGGGGTTTGGTGTAGGTGGCGGCTCAGTTATCGTCTACATCTATTAGCAGGAAGGTGTATTTTTTTTTTCTTCCCTTGTCTGATCTAACTGCACCAATTGATCGAGTCAGATTTTCGGTGAACTTCACAGCCAGTACTGGCAGTTGGCTTTCAGAGTGTTGTTCGGGTTTTTTTTGTATTGCCTTTAAGCAAACTGTTCATGCGAGAGAGGAATGTTGTCCCTTTTTTAACAAATAATGGTTTATGTCAGGGTCCAGAGTACCCAGTTGCTATGGCGGATGTCTCAAGAAGGTCCTGGAAGCTGCCAATTCCAGCTCTGTGTACTAGTTGGTGGCATTACAGGACATGGGAATGGCTTTGTCGGACCAAAGGTTGAGGGCCTGGGCTGTAGCATTCCACCCCGATTTCTCTTTCATCATTCCTCCTAGCTCAGTGTATTTCTGATTGTGCCATGACAGGAGGCTTTATATTAACCAGTGCCACAGGAAGACTGCAGTAGATAACTGTGGTTAGCCCCTCGGCAGTCTGGCTGGTAGCTTGGAGCTGAGCACCTCTTACTCCATAAGCCCTCCACCCTTGCAAGGGAATCTTTGCCCCAGGGCTTCCTTCTCAGAGCAGCTGAACTCCGGTTCAGTCTTCCAGGACGGTTCTTCTGAACCTGTCCCCTTCTGTAAAGGAAGGGTCTCCTCCATTCCAGGGTCAGTAATGCAGTATTGTAAATACCCAAGTTGGATCAAGTTGGTTCATCGCTCTTCCTCATCTGCAATCAGTCCCTGTAAAGTGAATCCTCTCAACCTCCCCTTTCCCCTGTTGCTTGGCTCTTTACTTTGGTGGAAGCTTGTAGCCTCTGTTCCAGGGCCCCGGAACAGAGTGATGGATCTAAGACACAGTACTGTACTGACCCATAAAGGGAGCTGCACGTGCTTTGACCTTCATTTTTTCCAATGCCTTGGGTGGCATAAGCATATCTTAAATGCATTTCCTCTGTAAAGTGTCAATGTTCCTTTTCTCTAGGACAAAACTTACAAAAAAATATGCAATTTTTTTATTTTGAGACTGTCCTGTGACTTGTACTTGTCTTCTCCTGAGGCTTGTGAAAAAAACCTTTCTTATGTACTTAAGATTATACAGAAGATAGAATAAAGTTAATGCCAACTTGCTCATTACAGTGGCTCTTGTTTACTCTTTGGGGGCATACAGGACCTCGGGGAGGACAAGATGCCCCTTGCTGCCTGAGCCTGCCTTGACTGCTTTGAATACTTCTCCCCAACAGACTTTCCTCAACTTCCCTCAAATCAAATTGTCAGTAGTTGTCAAATCTCACCTTTTTTTTTTTCAGTTGGTTAGATGTAAAGTTCTTTATTGATTTCAGTTGCTGTACAAAAGTGCATAAAACAAGCCATTAGTTGAAACTGTTCAAGCTGTTAATACCTGCTTCAGTCAAACCCCTCCTTTTTCCCCAGAAACCCCTAAATTTGGCCCTTTTCCCCCTCTTGAAGGATAGGCTGCAATATCTTTCCTCTGCAGACAGCCATGTAAGCCTACTTGCTGATCCCTTTAAGAGATGCAGCATCCTTGCACTAGTGATTTCGGTTAATACTGCCATTGCATCCTGCGAGGAACAGGCGACAGGCAAAACAAACCTCTTGCGCAATCATTTTGCCATCACTAAGTGACCACAGCTCTGAAAACTGAAGTAGACTTACCAGGGCCTGTGCAGGATGGAGTGCTTCAGACTTCGTGCAAGGCTCAAGTCCAGCCAAACTGGAGCGTAATTACATCCAGACAAATCCTGGTCTTGTACTGCAGTGTAAGAGGTGCCACTTCTGCACACTGTGGAACTGCTGAGCTAAACCCCCCTCCTCTTCCCCTTCCCCAGATCCCCGCAGGCTCGTACGCAGAAAGTGCTGTTGCACAGTAGCAGCTGCATTAACTACAGTGGTAGACCCTCCCCAGTGCTCTCACAGGATGCCTCCCCGTAGCTTCACTGGAGGAAGGGGAGGATAGCGGTGTAAAACCACTCTTCTGAGAAGTGCAGGTGATCCCCTTTCACCCCCAGGAACACCAGCTTTCCTGCTTTGTCCATCTCCTGCAGCCCCAGGCGATCCTGCAGAGAGAATTATAACCATAGCTTTCCAGGGTCCCTGCCACAGCCAAATGCTGGCAATGGCTGGGGAACCCGGCATGGCAGAAAGCATAGATGGTCAGAGACTTTTTGCAATGGAAGTGGCTGGCAGGCTAGAGTGGGTTCCACCTCTGCTCTTCAAAGCTTCTCAGAGAGGGAGGTAAAAGACATTTTTGGACAACTCTTACAGCAAGTCTTTAAAAAGGAGCAGAGTTCATTAAACATGTGCTGAAGGGGATCTTGAGTCAGGCATGAGACCACCCCTCTCATTCCCCCTGCCAGAACTGGCCTGGAGAGAAATGCCATCCCAAAGAGCTAGCTACTGGCAAGAGAAGGCAATGCCCCAGGAATGGCAGAGAGGGCGAGTAGAGCTGGGGGGTTTAGAGCTCCTCAAGGCCCCAGAGACACTACAGAGTGGAAATAGCAGAAACCCCTCAGTCCCCAGCAGAACGTACCTCTGTATACAGTGAGGTCTCCTTCAGTGGGATGGTCTCCTTGGCTTGGCCACTTTTGTAAAACCCAAACCACTGTCAGAATGAAAAACAAGGAAACAGTTGCTGAAGGGCTCCCAGGAGGTAAGCAGGTTTTCACCAGCTTCTGCTGCAGACAGTGCAGTATCAGGCCTATGTTTGTGCTCAGCCTGCTCCTCACCAACCTCAGTTCTGCCATCAAAGGACAAACCAGAAACAAGCAAGCACCAAAACACCACCCAAAAGCAATACCCGACCTGCCTGCCTCACCTCAGAGATGGGAGGGTCAACCATGGTATCATTGAGAAATTTCACCATCACAAATTTTTTCAGAGCCATCAGGTTTTTCTTGTACGTCTCATTGATGCCCTGGATGGAAGCAATAGAGAACAGATCCAAGTCCCTGGAAAGCTCACCGAGACAGGTCAGGGAAACCGCCTGCTCCAACTTGCCCTGCATCTGCAAAGGAGACCCTGGACTGCACCAGCCTAGCAGGCAGGAACATGCATTCCTGTCAACAGCCTCCCTTGGGTGTGCTCATGGCATTCAGCCTCATCTCCAGGTTGTTAAGAGGGCATGGGCCTCCCCTGCCTTCTTAGGGGAGGGAGGGTATTTGCCCACTTGAAGGGTGATGGTGGACTCAGCACATGCCATATCTACAACAACCACTCCAGAATTGTGCAGTGACACAGGAGTGTCACTACCACAGACAAGTCTCATTCATAAAGCTACCAGCAAAAACACTTTGTACACTCCTGAGATGCGGGGCAAAAAATGCTCCCCTTCAAATGCCAGCAAAACTACTGTCAGGGAGAGCTAACGTGAAGGAACTCACTGATAAGGCTTTTCTGCTTTCCTCCTAGCATTTAATCATCAACCAAGTCCTTACCCTCTCCTGATTTATGTCAGCCAAAAAGATGCTGTTTTTCCTGTAGTCTTCCTCCTTCAGAGGATCGTGCCAGTACTCTGCTTGTACCAAGCTGGAGAAGAGAGAAACCAAAGATCAGACTGGAAACCCAAAGCTTCTGATGTGGGCCTGTCCCCTGCCTTTGCAGCCTTATAAATATACTCACTGCTCCTGAACAGCCTGCGTGTAGGCACCCAGATCCAGCGTCTTTCGGATCCAGTCACAGATATGGGAGCTCTCACCGGGACAGCGTGGGAAGCCGTACACACCTGGGGTATGGAGACGTGTAACAACTTGGTGAGACAAACTGAAATCCCTTAATCCCTCCAGCTGGTAAAGAACCTTTTTACACAGCAGTGGCAAGAATTACCCAGGGAATCAGGCAGCCTTTAATCCTGCAATCTCATTAGACAGCCCTCCTGCCCCTGGGCATTATTACCCACAAAGATAATGGACAATGTTCTTGAGCTGAGGGTATTGCTCTGGATAATGGGGGCATGCAGACTAGCAGAATACTGTCCAGCTTGCCTGGTGTGTTCCCAGGAGGTCTCAGGGTGGTTGCCTATAAGCCTTCCCACTACAATACAAAGAAATATTCAAGCCATGGACCTTCTCAGGGGAGAGTATTTGAATTTCCTTGTCAGCCACTCTTAACTGCACACCTCTTAAATTCCATTTCAGCCGCCTCTTTAATCTACTGCAAAATCACCTGCCTTTGCCTGGGGCTTTCCAGATGCCTATTGTAAAATATCCTTTTGACCCAGAAGGTTTAGTTTCACAAAGGCTTTGCTCTGTAGTTAGAAATTTCTTCTCCCGAAACAACTAATCCCAAATGTTTCTAAAGTATCTAAGAATTCAATCCAGACAATAAGTCTCCTATTACAAAGGTCCCTTCTCATTGCCAATTAAGCAAGACCAAGACAGAAGATAATGTAGTCAGCTAACAACTGGGCCAAAGCAGATCACCAGATTCAGACAAGAACAAAGGGACAATTTAATTCATAAGAAAATGGTCAGTTTTTACGAAGAGACCAAAAAAATCATTCCTCCTGCCAACAAGAGCTTCCCATCCTTCACAGTGGTTAGGAGGTGAGGTAGCTTAAGAGGATACTACCTTGGTGCTGCCCCCCAACAGAGATCAAATTCAGCATGGGAGGAGAAGGACACCTCTGGGCCACCGCCCTCCTGTGAAGAAAGACGAAGGAGCTGAACTGGTGCTCAGTGTGCCCAGGCCACCAATGCTGGTTCACATGCAGTTCTCAGCTTGCCACTTCGTGGGCTCGGGCACTTGGGTAAGGTTTGCAAAAAGAATTAACCCTTCCTGGTAGAGAAGGGCTACAGGAAAACACATTCTTGCCTCCTTTTGAGTGCTTTTACCTTTACGAAGGGGTTTATCGGTTTACATCTGTTTACTACTTCAGAAGAGTTTTAAATCAGAACATAAAACCCAACAAAAAATCACTGGAAATAGAACAGAAGTGTAAACTTACAAGAACTGGCCTCCTTGGGAGAAGCCCATTGCATTGTAGCCTCCTTTCAGGTGAGGGTCCTTGGCAAGCTGGCCGCACACCTCTCTTACTTGATCGTTCACATTCATAAAGAAGCTGTTCTCCATGTCCTGATGGATTAGCCAGATTAGAAAGTACAACTTGTCCCTTTACAATGGCTTACTCTATTTTAATCTCTGCAAATAGATTGCTAACAGTTCTGCTTTTGGAAGAGGACCTTAACTTTCACAATAAGACAGAAAAGAAGTTCAAGTTTTGAGACTGCCCTTCACCACGTATTTGTTCCTACTCTGCGTAGGAAAACTGTC